GCAGGGGGTCAGCACAGGGGGACAGGGATTCCCCCAGGAGCTTGTGTGTGAGGGAAGGCTCAGTGAGAGACGGGGCCTCATCAGTGGGACGTCACCTGAGTGCTGTGCTGGTGATACCTGGCCACCATGAACCCATCATGGACCCAAAACCCACATCCCAGCCCTGAGTTTGGGTGGGTAGCAAGGCTTGCATTGCCCACTCACTGCCAGTCCCCCAGGGATCACCAACACCTGCTGGGAGTAGGGCAGGGACAGCAGCAGTGACCAGGTCAGAGCATCCCCATCATCCCAGCACATCCCAGGCTTCACACCCCGCCTGGATGAGCCTGACCATGTGCCTTGGAAACATGGGGGATCCCAGCAAGCCCTGCCAGGCCCGTGGCACACAGCTGCAGCACAGGGAACACCAGCACTCCCAGCTTGGCAAGGGAGCCAAGGGGAGACAGCAGGGGATGTGTGCAAGGAGCTGCTCTTGCCTGGGCAGGGGGGGAAGGAAGGCATGCACAAGGCCTGAAAACACCTGATCCACTTCCCCACATGCACCACAGCTCCCACGTGGACCTGTCACGTGTTGGGGTGCCCCATGAAGGGGAGATGCAGGACATTCCCCTCTGGCACGTGCATGCACACACCAGGCTGGGACACTGAATCCTCCCTGGCACCATGTGCAAGGAAAGGGAGGCTTAACAGCCAAGATGTGGTTAATTCCTCAAGAAATCCCCTCCCAAGGGTCCCTGAAGCCAGCTCTACCAGGCAGGGCTTGCTTTGCAGGGAAAGTAATTCCATCAGAGTGCAAGAGAACAAGTCCCAGATCCTATTAGGGACTACGAGGGCAATCAAATGGGAGGCACAGCCCTCTCTGACCTCTTCTGCTTGCCCATGTGCCAGTGCCCAGGGACTCACACAGGTCTCACAAGCATCTCTTGTCCCCCAGGACAGCCATGGCCATGGGAATGGTGTCACCTGCTACATTTGCACAGTGCCACTGGCTGCAAAATGCCAGCTTGATCCGCAGGCCTGGCTCCTCTCCCTGCCCAAGATCCCAATGACCAGACTCCTCCAGCTCTGCTCTCCTTAGGCAACATCACCTGAGCAAGCAGATGAGTGACTGAGATCCCACCAGCCTCTTCCACAACAGGATCCCATTCCCACAGCAAGAGCCAGGGACAGGGACACTTTTGCAGCTCCCTTGGCATTTGGAGTCCTGAACACAACGCTGCCCTTAGCCCACACCACAAGCAAAGTCTGGCTTAAGCAGCATGGGCTGCCCAAGGGATCAGCTCCATGGGGATGCAGGAGTCCAGAACCAGCTCCCCAAGGAGGGGACAGCCTGGAGTGGGCAGCACTGGCAGGAATTGCTGCCCTCCATCAGCTCCTGGGCCAGGTGATAGTTTTCTGCTCCTGCATTAAAATGGGTGCTGGGCTCCCTCTCCAGCACCAAAGCTGGGAGCAATCAAGTCCCACATTTCCCCTGGAGGCTCAGCCAGTGCTGCTCCCCACGAGGGTCTCCTCACCTCATAAGAGTGACAGGGATCCTGTGCAGCGATGGCAAACACCCACAGCAGCTTTCCTCTGCCTCTGTCCTTCACGTGTGGGAGCCCAGGACACGGCTGAATTCCTCCTGTGGGGAGAAGCTGGGATGAAAAACCACTCATGGGCAAGCAGGCAAGGGCTGCAGGAGCATCCTGGCAGAGGGAGAGCTGAGCTCAGTGCTGCCCCGACCCTGGGGACGGGGCTGCAGCTGGCTGCACACCAGGGACAGGGATCAGCCACTGGCACAGCAGGAGGAGGAGAAGCCCCCATTTACAGCAGTGCTCCATGGCAGGGAATGGCATGGGGCAGGCAGGGAGTTTTGGAGTTTTCCCCTGCTGCTGCTTTCCTGGCTCTTGGGAAGCAAGACACCCAGGAAGGGCAGGCAGGGACTGTGAGTGCCTCACTGGGTATTTCATAGCTGCTGAACTGGGAGAGTGCCAGCCCCAGCAAGTAAAACTTTCCATCCCATTGGTGAGCTGGAGGCTCTGTTTGTTTTCCTCCCAGGGCAGCCAGCAGTGAGCCCGAGATGGCAGCTGTTCTGGAGAGCTGGGAATGGGAACACACTGGGCTCAGAGCAATCCCTGGGGCACCCTCATCCTGTTCCAGCTCTGGGGAATGGCTCTGAGTGGTAAGAAGCACAGAAATTGGAGCCAAATTCTTACACTCCCATCCCAAAATCCTGTCCTCAGTTGCTCCCATTGTAGGAGCATTGGGGGGTGGGATGGTGGGGATGGATGGAGATGAGAGTTCTCTGCAGCCAGGGCTGGAATTTGGGGTTCATTGCAAAGGGCCTGGGTGCAGGGCCCTGCTGGGAGCTGCCAGCCACAGCTCAGAGCAGGCCCCAGAGAAGAGAGGGGGAGAGAGAATGAAAGGGTAAGAGAGTAAAAGCAGAAGAGAGTAGAAGGGGTAAGAAAGTGAGGTTCCCGTTACAATACAATAAATCTTCTTCTGTGCTGAATATTCTAATTCTCACTAACCAATCTAGTACAAGATACAAATCCTATAGCATTTACATGCAGCCTATAAGAATCATTACATTGCCATACTGTGTTACATTTCAAACCCTAAAAACTCCTCTTTGTGCCCCTTCTGCCAAGCTGGCAGGGTCTGCTCTGACCCTTGGGCCTGTCTGCAAGCAGAGGGTGTTGTTCCATCAAAAGGGGATTACCTTCAGCTGGCCACACCATTGTTTTCCAATTGTTCAGTAACTGAGGGATCTCAAAGCTTGCTTTCATTTCAATCTCACTTATAGTTTCTATATTCTCAAAATCTTTAGCCAGGCAATCATATTTATAAGGCTTTCCTGTTTCATCTCCCCCAACACCCATCACACCCCGGACAGCCCCAGATCTCTGTGCTTCCAAGCAAAGCAGGTTTGCAGCATGTCTGAAATCCCGGCCTGGCTTCCCCCCAGCTCCCCAGGCAGAGGGTGGAGGGCTGGGCTGGCCTCTCCCGAGGTGACTCAGGCCAGGGGAGCTGGCACAGCCTGCCTGGCACCTGCTGTCCCGTCACGGTCACGCGGCCGCAGCGCCGGTCACGGCTCTGTGCCCTGGCACTCCTGGCATTGAGAGGGAGGGGCAGGAGGGCAGCAGCCCCCGAGGGCTCAAGGCTGCTTTGCCACACAGCAGCCACCCCCTGAGCACAGATCCTGAGCCACGAGAGCCTTACCCTGTGCCAGGCAGAGAAATCCCCAGGGGACGGTGCTGGGAAGGTGTTTACCAGCTCACCATGTGCCTGGTGCTGGTGCCCAAGGCCTCTGGAGCTGGCATGCTCAGTGTGGGAATGGGCCAGGCAGTGCCTCCATCCACAGACAGCCTGCCCCTGCTTGTCCCTCCAGATCCCCTGGGGTCCCAGGTTCCCAAACTTGTCCCTCCAGGTCCCCTGGAGTCCCACATCCCCAAGCCTGGCCCTCCAGATCCCCTGGGAACCCAGGTCCCCAAACTTGTCCCTCCAGGTCCCCTGGGGTCCCAGCTCCCCAAACTCATCCCTCCACATCCCCTGGGGTCCCAGGTCCCCAAACTTGGCTCTCCAGATCCCCTGGGATCCCAGGTTCCCAAACTTGTCCCTCCAGATCCCCTGGGATCCCAGGTTCCCAAACTTGGCTCTTCAGATCCCCTGGGGTCCCAGGTCCCCAAACTTGTCCCTCCAGATCCCCTGGGGTCCCAGGTTCCCAAACTTGTCCCTCCAGATCCCCTGGGCTCCCAGGTACCCAAACTTGTCCCTCCAGATCCCCTGGGCTCCCAGGTCCCTGTCACCCCCAGCCCCATGGAGGGCTCTGCCATCAGGAGCAGGGCTCCCTGCCCAGCAGCCCTGGCATCAGCCACCCCATCGCAGGGCACAGCTCAGCTGTGGGTGCCCAGGGAGCCTCAGCCCAGCCCTTGGACACTCAGGGTGCACGTGGTGGCTTTGTCCTGGGACAGAAGAAGGAAGTGAGAGGCGACGTGCGGAGCTGGCACAGGGGATGGCTGAGCATGGCCCTGCTCTGGGGACAAGGCAGGTCACAGCATGTCCTGAGCTTGGTAGGAGCTGTGCTTTGGCCTGGAAGAAGGGTCCTGGGGCAGCACATTGTCACTTTAGGTTGGAAAAAATCTCCATGCACTGGGGCTGCTGGCATTGTTGGAGTGATAAATGGGCAGGGCATGGAGGGAGGAACACCAGGTGTGGTTGGTGAGAAGAGATCCCTCACTGTCACCATCTCCCCTCCCAAAGCTTTGACCACTCAAAGTCACCAAAGCCTGACATCCAGCAGTGAGGGACACAGCCTGTGTGAAGGTCCCACCCCTTCCCAAGAGGGCAGATGTGCTGGCATCACTGGGGATGAGCCTTCAGCTCAAAAGGCACAAAGGAAGGCAAAAAAGGCACAAGGAAGGTGACCAGGGCTGGCTCCCAGCCTCAGGGTGAATCACAACAAGCACTGACCAGAGGAAGCACAGCAAGGAAGAAAGTGATGGGAAAAATTGTGTGGTTAATACAAAGGGTCAGGCAGGACATGCTGGGATGGTCCAAGCAACACAAAAGGAGCATCAGCAAGGCCTGGTGAGCAGAGCTGGGACAGCCCAGCACAGCCAAGGCACAGGACAGCAGAGACAACCCTGCAGAGCAGCCCCGGCTGGAGTTCTGTTGCCATTGATAAAGCACTCCCCTCCCAAAGAGACAATTACACATGCTTGGGCACACAAAGACATTTACTCATATTTGTTCTCCCAGATACAAAAAGAGAGAGAGAAACTGAAATCTGTATGCATGCAAATATCAAGGAAAAGATAATAAAAAGCCAGAAGGTCCTCACAGGAACCACAGTCAGAATTCATGTACGTATGGAAAAATATGCTAAGTTGTTCTTATACATCACATTTGTAAGGTTTCATCTTCTCCAGACTACTGATATTCTGGTTAATAACACCCGAAATTTCCAGATCTTTCCAAGTGTGGAATATGGATGCTTGGAGAAGGACCGGGATCTCTCTCTCCCTGCCTCTGTTGGCACTGAGGGAAGGGACATTCCTGCAATAACACTGTCTGCATCTGCTGCAGCTCACCTGGAGGACAAAGCAGCTGTGAGCCATCCGAGGGTGTGGGGCAGGGACCCCATCATCACCCTGAGCATGAGGAGCCCCAGCTCTTCCTCTTCCTCTGCACAGGGCAGGGAGCAAGGGGCCAGCAGTGCCACAGAGCCCCAGACACCCCCCAGCCTCTGCTGGCACCCAAGAGCCCATCAGGCAGAGCTGCTGCTGCCCATAAATGATTCATGAGCATCCTCTCTCAAGGCTGGAGCCACGTTAAAAGGTGCTCCCAGTTATTAAGAGCTCCAGATAGGAAACTCAATTTGTGCAGCTGCTCTGAGCATCGAGCTCCTGTGGGCTCACACCCGAGCAGAGACCCAGCACCTTTCAAAAAGCTTTTTGCCATTTTGCAGTCTCAAGTTTCAGGGCTGGAGAAAAGGAGCCAAAGCACAAACAGCTTTTGAAATAAAACCATATTATTATTGGAGAAAAAAAAAAGAAAAACACTCTATTTTTTCCCCATGTGTCCCAATCCTGTCACAAGGGAACTGGATGGCAAAACTGTGAGATTTTTCAGGTTTTTGCTCTGAGTGTTGAGAGAGGCCCCCTGTGTTCAGAGGGAATGGCTGGCTGCCCTCTCCCTTATCACTGAGCCACACAGTCAGCATGGACACCCACAGGGGCTGAAATCCACCCCTCCCTGCTGGCTGGGGCAGGAGGATGGGTATGGATGAGTGCTGGGATCCTGCCTGATCCCCAGGGCATGCAGGCAGCCAGCAGCACCTCACCCACAGCACCATTAGAACATCCTCTCCCATTCTTCTCTGCCAGGAAGGACATTGGGCAATGGCAGCAGGTTTGCTGGGCTGGGAGCAGGGCACACCCCAGGAGGAAGGAAAGCAGCTGGGGAGACAGAGCATGGTGGGGCTGCTGATAAGGAGAGCCCTGCATGGGGACATGGGGACACAGGGACACGGCAGCCTGGGCTGGGCCTCCCTGCTGCAAGGCCTGGAGAGCCAGGGATGTGGCCCTGGGCTCCCTGGCAGGGAGGGTGACGCCATCCCCATGCATGGAGAGGGAAGGATTTGCCTGCACTGCCTGGGAGCGGGTGGAAAAGCCACGTGGAGGATTTCCCACAGCCCATTTCCCATTCTCATTAATGTTTTAACCAGAAAAAAAAAAACCCAGCCAGCCCAGCAGACAAAGGCTTCCCAACCTGCTGGGCTGGGGTCCCTCTGTGCCACCCACCCCTTGTGTCCCCACGCCCCCTCGCAGCACAACAGCCCCAAGCAGGCAGCACAAACCATTCCCTGCTTCCTGCAGAGATGCTGGGAGCTGCTAGAGTGGCTGTGGATGCACAAGGGGACCCCCAGCCCACCGGCCCCTTCCTCAGCTGGAGCTCAAGCCAAGTGAAGAGCACACAGGTGGAGATTTTGGGTCACCCCAGAGGCTTTGGGGACAGCAAAGGGCCAAAGTCTCCCCCAGCAGCTCCACTGGTCACAGACACACAAGGAAAGCTCTTTTGCATTTTCCCCCAGCCTACCAGGATTGATTTAACTTGGTTTTACCTAAGAACTGATT